TTGCTTTGTTGACAGATATGAGATATGATCTTATTTATTCAACACCCTTGGGGACATTGACAAGGAATTTTCGGGGTGGTTTTCTACAAATACCACCAAGAACTACTGATTAACTTGAATTGACAGACCTTGAATCTTTGGGCCAAAATTTAGAGGCTAAGGGTTAAAAACAAGGATTGCAAGATTTTCGTGCTTGTTGGTTCCACTGAGTAAAATACTCTTGACCTTTTCACGACATCGCGATAAGTCCTAGCTGCAAGTGATAGCTCTGGTGAAATTAATACTACGAAACTGACACTTTTTCTGAGATGTGATTGAATTGCAAATTTTTTCTTTTTTTTTTTAGCTTGACTGTATTGTAATAAACTGTACCATTTTAACCCTCTGTTGATAATAGAGAGCCTTCTCAAACTGATTGAAGAGATATAAGCCCTAATTCTTAAAGAATTTTCAAAAATCTATATAAATCTGTTGCTAAACATAGACTATTGCAAAATCTAACATTCAATCCAGCACATCTCCAGACGGTCAAGAAATCCCTGCTCGACTCCAATCCCAGAAATACTGCCAAGATACTGATATCCAAGGTGGGTCATTTGCACATATTTCAGACAGTAACCCAGAAAAAATCCTTTAAAGACAAAAAGCTCTTTAATTCTCTTTAAGTTAATGTAGTTGAATATCTCAGTAAATGAGGATTGAATCATTCTTGGCAGAAAAATACATGCTGTAATTTGGAAGGCTTCATATAGTTCTTCATGTCGTTGTTTAATGGGTTTTACAGTAAGGCGGAAGCTGACTTTTACATACAGCTTGGTCCACTGAGGGGCATAAGAATCGTCATTAATGCATCACCAGTCTCCTTGTGATGTGAATTGCAATATAAATAGTGGTTTTCTTTGATGAGTTGTTCGTTTTGCTGTTCCAGGTTCAAAGTTTTTGAACTTTCAAGGTTAAGAATTATAGGAGCTGGAAAAAAACTTCTAGACATTTATTGGCATGAGACCGTTCGATCCTCCAAGTTTAATTCAAAAATTATTTTGTCAGGGTACATAAAACTGAGATTTGGATAGCACCAGTCCGGAGCTGTCTAAATTTCTTAGAGCGATTTTGTAGCGTTTTAGCAAAAAATAGACACAGTTGATCAGTACAGATTCATTGTGCTGTATTTTCTCTTATTTTCAAGAGTTTAGACTTGAAATTTAGAGACTTACGGTGCTCGATGACTCATTAGGTCCATTTTTAATCACACTAATGCCCGGGATTTCTCGCTGAATTGGAGGACGGCGTTGAGAATGAACAATTTGTCATCGCGTGTTTCTTTTTGTTTTGTCGTTATTTCAAAGCCATGTTTTCAGCGGAAATTAATTACAACACGCCCAAGAGAGTTTGAACAAAGGAGGTAACCGCGACTACAAATTCACTGCATTATTTTGCTTCTAGGGCCTTTCAGCTGCAGTTTGATCAGAACAATTCGGGTTGTCCGCTCGTCTGCATCGTAAATATCACAGTTTACACCACCATTCTAAATGATGGTGCCATTGGAAATAAACGGCAGTGGTCGAAATCTATTTGTCCTGAAAGCCTTGAATCCGCTAAAAACTCCAGCATTCAGTACAAAAGAGTATGACACGTGCAAAAATGTCTCAGATAGGTCTCATGCGAATATTGCCTCAGGAATCATTGTCTGTTTTTAAACACCCGATGTTCTAGTCTGTCGTTCCACTGATTTTACCTTCAGCTTTACTGTATCAGCCTCGCGATAGATCAGGAACAAAAAAATTACCTTCAAAACCGATTTACAAGACGTCCAAATTAACTAATATGAGCCAGACTTTTCAACTTCAGTCATGTTGACCCATGCTAGCCTAGTAAAATACGAAGACGTGATATCCTGCTTACAAACTTTTCTGGCTTTACATAGTCTCTCTAAGTCACAGTGGAGAACTGAGACAACTTCAGACTGAGAAAAATTGACGTTTGTATGTTTCGTTTTTGCAGGTGACGCACTAGGGCCACTGAACTGTCAAATAACAATCAGAAGTCTGGAAAGAAGAGATTCGGAAGCAAGGTGTTATTAGCTCGAAAAACTTTGTAGAATTGTCAGCTATCTCACACGTCCTTGCGAGGTTATAATCAGTTAGAATGCTACTTAATTATTAAAACTGTATTTACCACTGTAAACTACAGAACACCCTCTAATGCTCTCAGTCATTTTCATTTATTTCGAAACAGCTGTTTTGATTAAAATCAGTTCTGATCCTATCCAATGGAAAATGCTAAATTTTCTACAAAACCTCTCTAAATTTTAGTTGAGTCCATTCTCGCCCCTTCGCCCTTGAGAAAACTGGTCAACATTTTATTTCAATTGCAATGAAATTCTTACGAGTCAATGTGAAAAGTGATTGCAAGTCCTTGAGTATGTTCACTGGGGTGAATTTCTGTGACTGCTTTGGCAAACCTTGATTTAAAAGTAAAAAAACAGAGTGGACTGTGTGGTATTTTAGTCAGTTTAAGCTTTGAAAATGTATACTTAAACTGTAGTTCACCTGCACTTCATTACGCAATCTAAAGTGCAGGAACTTAAAAACGTGAAACTCAAAATCACTGCGTGAAGCGAATTTTCCTCCCTACTGTTGTTTATGTTGAAAGCTGAATAAATATTCGACTTTTTGTCACGTTTAAAATGCGCAACTATTTTAGAACGGACAAGTGGAGGACTTGAATAAATTATATCCTGATTCAATGACAGAAAGCTATTAAATATATAGAACACGAAGGCAATAAAGCTACAAAAAAAGTGAGTCAAGTGAACCGTTTGTTGTCATTAGGACTTGATCATCTACCCCCATGTTTCTTTTAATTTTCTAACGGACCGGGAAATTGGTAAAACAACGCCTCTCTGGCGGCGTTTTGAAATTGCAGTTCCTAGTCTATTTATTCGAATATGATGGATGTCAATATTACCTGTCTGTGGTTTTAATTGCTATAACTCAAGCACGCAGAACAGTAACGTAAGCGACCTTCCAGAAAGGAACCAAAATAGTTTTGTTGTTAAATTTTTATTTGCTTCGGAAAACGGCCCTCAAAGCCGGGCACAAGTTCAATTTCACGAGCGAGTGCATTTTCCGAGAAAGACCCACTCAACCAAAAGATACAGCTAAAGTAATTTATAAATAGATCAGTGGGCGACGGAAGCTCTGAGAAGATTATAAGAGAAACAGTACCGCGTTTGGCTGAAGATCTGCCGCTTATTACGCAATACTTGTCGTAACTCTATCAGTGGCAAAGGAAGCATTGATGAAAGTTTACGAAAGCAAGCGATAAACTAGGTCAATGAGAAGAAAACAAATATCTCAGACAGGCTTGAGTATTTGTCTAAAAGGTTAACCTGAGTGACCGCCATTGTAATGCTGTAAGACTTGTTGTGGTTTCAACTTAATCTAGGAGCAGATAAAATGAATTTTGAATGCAGCCATTAAAGAAAACATGTATAGTTTTGCGTGCGGATAATGTGTAACAATTTTCACTCGGCTGTTTGGCATAGACATAATGAATCCATCTCAATAGAGTTTGCCTGAGGTTAAGAATGTTAATTAGTAGCCCGTGTGGATAACATCGAGTCACACGAACGTTTTAATTCCTTTTAATCCCACTTGCTCTCAAAGAGAAATAAATAACAGGCCTTGTAAAGTCTATCAGAGCTCGTTAAGGGGGCGAAAATCGGCGACAGTATCAGGCGTAGAGCTTTCAAGGTCGAGTTTTTTAAAGGTGAATAGTCATAACATAAAGCAAGCACGTCAAAATACAAAGCACCTTGGCCGTGTAATCAACGCTACCATCTACAAATTGTGTATAATGACTGGAATTCAACAATAATCAGCACTAAAAGAACACGCAAACTTGCTGCCTGTCTTCTCTTTTGCATCTTGTTGTATGTCCAACAGCTTCGAAGCGAAGCTTTCCTGAGCACCTGACACAAAAAGGTTAATGCCGACAATAGATTGCTATAATAAAAACATCGAGGGCAATTGTTTCGAGGTTCTCCGAAAGGAGCAGGGTTAAGACATGTTGTGGATTATTGTTATCTCTGTCCACTTCCCTCCATTCGTTTACCAATATTAAAACGCGGATGGAATATTTCTCGGGGCGATTTTTAGTAGGATCGAGAATAACGTAGATTCAGTGGTGCGTTTATGCAGAAGACTGTTGACATACAGCTGGAATGGAAATTGATCCATTTCCTTTTGCCATCAGCTGAAATTGCCACGAGGAAGTTAGTTTTCAGTTCACAAAATAAATCCATTCGAAATTCAAGCAGTAAAATTGTAATCCTTCCTTTAATAAAAAACTTCCACTTCAAAACTGAGACAAAATTTTAGTGAGACTGAAAAAAATTACATAAAGCTACGACAATGAGAAATTCAAAGAACAGACACTCAAACAATCGAGCAAAATTGCTTTTAGCTAATATACATACGAGGCAGACATTGTTGAATTTTATGAGTACACGACAAAATCCGTCTAGCACGCAAACTTTTAAATGGCTTTCCAAAGCCTTTTTTCACGCGATGAATCACGCACAGCTTTTTTTTAGAATCTCTGTTTCCACATAAAAGCTAGGTACTTCAAACGGGGAGAAACCAATAAGGAAAAGATATACCAGGGGTCGATAGGTCGATAATTGCGAAGCAGTAATGTGATTACAGCGTGTGCTCTACTGGAAATAGCGTGTATTGTTACAAAGTCAAAATCCCGCAAAAAAAATTAAACTAACAGAAGAAAGATCACGCCATCACGCGACATGCAAAGCTGGGGCGATTCCAAACGGCTGTAACAATATTAAAAGAGAGATTTAAGAGCAGGAAGTGTGCAAAAAATTTAATAAAACTTAAAACAAATAGTGTTTTACTAGGTCGTTTTCCCAGCTTATTCAAGTCGCGGCTTGGACTCTGTGAGTGGCAAGTTATTACGCAAAAGTGGCAGAGAGTAAACATTGCTCTTTATTTTGAATAAAAACTGAGATCACTGAGATCTGTACAAAAGGAAGAGTGTTTATCTGGTGTCTGAGAAGATTAATACAATCCACAACAGCGGAGCTTTTAAAAAAATTCCGCCTTTAGCCACGTATACATCAAACCAACCAGTGGCTCTTTCAGTACGAAAAAGCGAGCCCTATACAGCTACGGTAGTTGTCTATTATAGTTCATCAATGGCGAACTTGCGAGGTTCAGGAGGTTAATTTTGTAGTTTCTTGGTGTGATGTTTAACAAGTCTTTAACTCAAAGGTCACTTTTGATGTGTAACAGTGAATTGCATTCTGTCTTCAAAGTTAACGATCGACGGACAGTTGATGATTCTGTGCAAATACGCGACTCACGTCCGAGTTTTAGGACTTGACGCGAATATAGCCAAGAACGCAAAATCTGCGGATACAAAGTCGGTTGACAAGCGGTGAAGATTAAGATTTTCTTGTGAGAAAGGAAAAATCCGACCTCTGCATTAGCTTATGTGAAAACAAATATGTCCAAGAATCCGTCTTCTCGAAGTAGAGGTCATTTTTAATCGACAAAAACACTGTAGGATATCGATAATACAACTACATGCTTTGACCTCATAATCTAGTTGTAACTTCCCAAGCTTCTGTACACCAATAAAATAAATATCAAGAGATGTGAGTAGGGCATTTCCGTGTCAAAGCAATTATTTACGTAGGTCGCTCTCTTGCGGTGAGTTTTCCGTTTTCCCTTTGTGCACAAGGGCTATCGTAATATAAATACTGCTACTCAGCAGATTACGCCACCAAACTCTCCCGACCTTCGCCAATAGTACAAGTCACCTCTGGTGATGTAAAGCTTATTCTTTTCTTACTCAGGCTGACAGTTCGCCAACTGATATTAACTTTAGAGAAAGCCATAGGCAATAGCTTTGTGTCTATTTGTCACTTTGAGCTGAAACACGGACAAAATACCAAGATGAAAACGTAACACTCAAAATAAGCCCCTGCACAGAAAATTGGCCTCGCTAGTTACAGAAACTGAGTTACAAATCGACCAACAGACACGCACAAAAAGATCAGCACAATTTACCGATAAATTTGAACCAGACTTATTACCGGAGCTAGCATTGTTTAACCGCCTAAATATTTTTGAAAACAAGAGCTTGTTTACACTGAGCACTTTTCGTTTTGGAAAACGATAGGACAGGTTCCACGCCTATCGGTTGTTTTCTCCGCGCACAGAGCGGCTATTTAATCCAGATAAAATTCGAAATAATGAGAGTAGGTCCTTGGACAAGCCGAGAGCCTGCGCTCATGTTAATGCAACGTGAAATAGTTTCTGGGATGTCTAATTATGCTTCCAAATAGCTCGTTCAGTCGACGTGGAATATTTTTATCGGCGTGAAAAGAAGTCCAATAAATTCGGCTTAACCGTTTCGATAAAGGCGGGTAATACGGCCAGAAATGACTGACTTGTTTCTGTTATTTATAAGGCAAGAGATATCTTGACCTATGTCGACCAAACCAAATAACCCAGATTTCATATTTAGTTACTATGAACGAAAAATACGTCTGCATGTGATATTACCATTACCGCTTGCGGCGATGTATTTTTCCATTGCATGGACCTTGGAAGATAATTCTGGAAAGCCACACTACTTTTTCTCCTAAAAATTCTCTTTAATTTTGTATAATTTCAGTGATGATGTCTTGGACATTCAGGTTTTGGACACACAGTAAAGAAAATACTAGTACAATGATGTTGCTCTCAGCAACATGGCCAATTTCTTGGCTCATATAAAAAAATCAAACACACGACGAACTCACAGTTCGAGGGAATGAAATACATTAACAGATAGCTAAGCTACGTCGCTGTCGAACGGCGATGAAAGAAAAACAAAACTATAGTACCTCTATAGAAAGTCTATTTTACCTGTCTTACCACGAGCCTTAGTGAGAAGACTCGCGTGGCGTCTACAATTGACAAAGTTATTTACATAACATAGTTTACTTCGAACCTCTCCGTAGCTATATCAAAGATCATACCTTTTAGTTTCACTCTGGAACGAGCGTTCCATTCTCTGTCCTCTGCAAATACTTGTAAAATACTATACGTTTCTCAAAGTACAACAAATATCCTCTATAATTCGCTAACTATGAAGATGACTAAAGGTTTTAAAGGCTCAAAGCCCGTGATTTCCTAACATTGAAATTTGGAACAAGACGAAAACGTTTAGTGTTCTTTGGAAGAACAGCAAGTGCCGCGCGGCGACCGGCCAAGCAACGCCAATTTGTCTCCGTGTCATGCTTCTTATGTACAAGGAAGATAAGGCCAGCTTGTAGGCGTTCCGGACAATAACATATCTCTAAGCAGAGTCTCAATTGGCGTTTTACCCACGAGACGCACAAAGAAAAGCTGTTCGACAATGGAAGGGTTGATACTTCGTAAAGATGGTAACCTCAACAACAATTTTCCAAAGCGAGTGGGTTGATTTGGATACTGATTTCTTGTATACTCCTCCAATGCACATTGTGTCTTTTCCTGCAGACTCTCGATGTACTGCGGATCTGTCAGACCGGAGGCATCTGCGAAAATACAATTATATTTCGTGACATTGCAAACTTGAGCTGATGTTGTTTAGCGGAGAGATAGGCGGGCAACACACTCCAAACAGCATTACTATTAATTTGCCGCGGTCGATGGATCAAGATCTGCTGATTTTCGCTGGCAGTTATGAAATATTAAAATATATTAGAAAACCACTTGTAGCTACAATTGTTGCGCCTGAAATTAAAACTTGTATCCTTTCAAATCATTCACCTGATGTAAAGAGGACGATAGCTTTGAGACACGCGAATTCTGCTGCATCCACATGGAGATTACGGTACTTCTCGACCTGCTCTTGGAAGATTCTTACATTATCCATAAAAGTCACCATTCTATCTGGGGACATGTGGTTCGAATGGATACCAGCAGTGGCCAACAGAGGGGCAACTTGAAGAGGCATCGGACATTGGGCGGCGTTTAGTACAAACAATTCACTCCAAACCAAACGCAGAAGTGCTACTTGATCGGTGACTGCCAAGTCCGGGAAGAAGGGAATATTTCTTGCCCATTCCACAGCGCTGAAAAGCAAACGAGCCGCCAATTCGCAGATGTTCTCGATGCCCATGATCCCACAAGGCATGTTTAGACCCTGTTGGAATCGCGCCGTGGGATATGGTTCGGCTCTAAGCAGCAAGCTGATGAATCCAGAAAGGAACGAGTGCCCGTTTGTAACATCAGCGCCATTCAACGCTGAGTGTTGCGGACTTGGCTGAGGTACTTGTGTAGGAGGGATGCGACCTCGCTGGACGGCTGTCGTGAAAAGGTGAAAAGGTTCATTCAACATGTTACTCATGCACTTACAACAGGTACTCACAACTACAGTCAAAGTGACGCTTACGGATTTGCTACTCATATGAAAATTTCTCACCCGTACCCTCGCGTCTCATGCCGACCTTGATGCATTTTCGCAGCCGGCAATACTGACACTGATTTCGATGATGCTGATCAATGGGGCAATTCCGCGATGCTCGACAAGTGTAGCTGAGGTTACGGCGAACGCTGCGCTTGAAAAACGACTTACATCCCTCACAGGTAAACACTCCATAATGTTTTCCAGAGGACTTGTCGCCACAAACTGCGCACTCTACTTGCTGCACATTTTTTTCAGACGGCTCCTCAACCGGTTCGGTCTTCTCCGTGCACCAGGTTGAAACAGGGACCACGGCCATACCACCCGGTAAATTAGGACTACGGATATAATTATAAATCCAACAGTTAGTGCTGTTTCGCGAGCGGCCCGTGTTCCTGTGATTAATCGCTCAGTAGCGAGAGATCATTGCACGCGGAAATAATTAGTGAGTTCCCAGCAGCGCGAGATCTCGCGTTCACTTACTCGACTAGAAATCCTTTGCGCGAATGCTTTTTTTCACGCAGCTAAGTGGCATATGTAGACGTGTAGCGGCAGAGGGGAGAGCACACAAGCGGCAAACAGTAGCTCGCTATGTAAAAACATCAACTGTGTCATGTCTGTAAAAGCTGAACTTTGACATAATCTGTTGGAACTGTCGGGTATCCGTGGAAACCACTGCTATATATGGTGCGGCTGTCAAATCGAGGTTCAAGGGCTCTTTAACAGTTGTGACTGAAAAATTGCTCCAGGGCTTAGGAACGTTCAGCCTGATTGCATTTATTTGTCACGAGGAGCGAGTGATTGGCCAGAATCGCCCTTTACTGACACGGCGAAGACTCTTTGTCTGAAACGTCAGTGTGGTTTTTTTATTTCTAACTTCGCGAGCTCAGTACTCGCGCTTTTATAGAACAACAGCTTCAGGCTATTTCGGCTAGACAACGAGAGAAATTTTAATGTCAGATTTACTGACCATCGTTGAAAATAGCCATGGCAGCTAGAACGGTTCGCATGACTATCATGCGTGAGTTTCGTTGGGTAAACAGCAATTTAACACTTTGACGTACGCACGTGAAACTAGATATCACGAACAAGATACAACGGCTATAGACTCGCCAAGGTGTTGTACGAGTAATTGTACCTTTTTCTCCGCTTACTCGTTTTGTTCATAGTCACGCCGGTAGATATAAAACAGAGCATTCCCTCCCCTTACGCGGAGGTCTTTTGTTCAGGAAACAAGTTAGAAATTCCATTTGACCCGCGTGTTATGATAAGACTTGGACTGTCATCGGCCGGCAAATTTAATGACAAGCCCTGATAACGGATCTTACAGATTCTAGATGGATAATTTTCACTTCTCCCAAAAACATACGCTAAGACACGCAACCTTTGAATATTTACACAGGCATTATACAATTCTCTACAATGTATTGTTTGAGAGGGCGATCCATGTCTTAAGCTGTGGGGTTCGTAGAAGCGGAAAAACATCGGAACCAGCGGGAAATTTGACCGATCGACGACAACATCGCACTGCCAAGTGCCACAAATCCTGGCTTTCCCAGAGATACAAGCTAAATGATTTTCATATAATTTGCATAATTAAACTGAGAGAAATACCAAGTAGATACTACTAAACAAAGATGTTTATTGAAGTTGATCGACCGCCTGCTATCAGTAACCCCGTACGCGAAATATCATTAAACCAAGTCACGCAAACTATAGTTTCTGAAGAAGCAATTTACAATGGTTAATTTTAACGACCTTGGCTATTAATCGACGTAAATTCAGTGCTAAGAGCCATTAGAAAACCCCAAGAACAATTATTGAGTTTTAAAACGGCTGCATATTTAAATAGCTTCAATCATTTTTTCTGTCGAATTCTCCAGTGCTAGCTAGACAAAGAGTCGCTTGGGTGCATTCTTTTAATAGCTCGCATTTTGCGCGGATAAAATTGCACCATTATAAAAACACTAAGAACTGATGATAATAGCCAAAAGACAGCTTGATGAATTGTGTTTATACAAAATTATATTTAACCTTGACACGCCAGAAAGGGCGGTGCTTAAGTCTTTGTTTCGCGTGCGAAACTAGATCCAACTTCCGCAGACACAGTAACTAAATATTAAACCCCAACAATGAGTTCATCTTGTTTTCTTTTATTTTTCCGTACAACGTAACTAGGACTATCTAGAGTGATCTCGCAAAGGCGTTGCAATTACCAGTTGCAAATATATAGATGTTGACATCAAACCGCGATAAAAATGCACTTGCTAGTTCCGCTTTTTCACGATGTTGGTTAGTTTGTTGACGATCACAATGAGGTCATAGAAGTTGATTATTGTGATCGATAGTGTGTTTCGACTGGAGTTGTACATTAGTTGATTTTTACGCCTAAGCTTACAATAACTTCGCATTTCCGGGTCGTTTCGATTTCCCCCAGCTAATTTGCAGTGTTCACGGGCCCCCACTGAATAAAGAAGGCCAACATTTCCTAACAAAAGCGGAAAAATTACTTTATCGCTCAAGATAGCGTTGTGAAATGTGTACAGAGCCAGTCAGTGGAGCACGTGGCTCAATGAATCCAAGGTTAAACGAAATTTCAAGCAGTGAAGCCAAAGGTTGAAACAATGATCTAATTAAAACATTACCAAGTTTAAGAAGAAGGAAATGCCACTTGTTACTAGGTCAAAAAGCTTTTCGACATTAATCTTGACAGGATGTTTCTCGCAAACAGTTTACGTAATGCAGCAGTTACCGCGAGTCTTAATGTCCCACTTGATGGTAAAAAATTTATCAAAAATGTTCTCTTTACCCAATTATTCAGGAATTTGTGGAGCGAAAATAAGTTTGGGTTATTTTGTACTAACTTTTAAGCCCACATAACACCACTTTGTGAAGGTATTTACGATGAACGTAACCACAAAGATCAAAGTTCGCAAAGTTTATCCTTTTGAAACAAAAATCTTTTCCCTCTAATAATTTTATGTGTGACCTGGCTTATTCAATACTGCAAACATAACCAAAAACTCTCAAATCCTTGAAGGTTTTGCTGTTAATGTAAAAATTATTCTCTTCCTCTGAATACAGATTATGATGGACAACTTTCCAAAGCATATTAAAATTGATATCTGCCTTTTTTGTCTGTTACAAATTGTTCAAATTCTGAGATTGTCTACTGCAACACAGTGGGTGAACAAAATCCAATTTTCACGGTAACACCACAGGTATTTAAAGTCGAGAATCACATTCCTTTCTCTCCACAATAGCAAATAACAAAACCTGATTATAAAGAGAGAGCTATGTAATCCAATTGCAAGAGGTGTTTCTTAGCTAGTTACAAGGGGGGCTTACTGTGATGTCTTTGCGCGGGTTAAAATCGGCGGCGTGAAAATCCAAGAATTATCACATGGATATCATAGCCAGCTACAATAACCAGTAGCATCCATCCCACTCAATAATTGACAATCACCTTTGGTAAGAATGTTTCACAATAACACAGTCATTAACGGAGAAATGTGGTTTTCCCATAGCTTTTTCATCAACACTGTCCGCTTATTCCCTATGGATAAATATCTTGTTTTTCTTTTATACAACCAAAGCAAGCACTATCGATTTATTTTTCCCCAACGATGCAAGAAAAACTCGTTACCTTTCACGGAGTGAAAAATGTCCTTAAAAACACCTTGATATACTTATTACCTCACAATCTAAATTTGAAAGGAAGAAATCTTTATCAAACAACAATAAAAACAACAATATAACAACAACCCAATTAAAACAAGACAGCAGAAGCTTTCGGTCCATTTCTTACAAGTCGTTGCTAATGCCTTTTCTGGTATCTGGCATTTCACAGCTAATCCCTTGCCAATTTGACTTCTAAGGTTAAATATAAGAGCGTGTTTTCCAAAGCCATTATCTTGTTATCTCCAAATGATTAATATATTTGACACCCATCAACTTTCCGTCTGTCTGCCAATTCTTAACAAATGAACACCGCCCTATAGTATTGGAGATCTTAGCTTTGAGATATTAGCGCCCTTTAGATCAGTCTATTAATTGTATGGCTCTCAAATCTGACAGCTATTTTACATAATACCACAAATCTTAAAGAAAGCTGGAGCATTCTTCTGCTTCGCAGACCCTTTCCTAAAACACGTCTCCGTTGCCACTTTTCCTAAAACTTCCAATGGTCTCCATATGTTTCGTTCCTTAACATGGTTTTAGTTCAAAGCATGTATGTTACCCTTGGATAAAATGTTACCCTGTCACCGTGTTAGAACAAGGCACAAATCGGACTTCACATATTATTTTACTGATCTAAACAAGTTTTTCTGCTTTAGATAGAAAGCGCACAATAGAAAGATAGATGGAGTGAGCACAAGTTGATCTGAAATCTCAAGCACATCTGTTGTCTGCCCCGCCAATACCAGCCTTAGCCTCCTACAAAGCTACAAATGAAATTTCAAGAACGATTCGGTTTCCTTTAGTGACCGATCAACAGAAGACTAACATCGCAAGAAAAGTAATATCTCTATGCTACGAAAAAAAGCTTCCATTTAGCATCATACATTCGTCGAGACTAAGAATACCCGCACGCGAGAAGATAGTAACAAAACTGATCAAAAACTCCAATATGTTAAAAAATTGAAGATAGTATCAAATACTCAAGAGAGTAGTTATGAAAAGCAACGCTATAAAACTGAAGTTTTTGTACTCTTTTCACAAATGTAAGTTGAGGCATTTTCCCCTCTCAACATAAGCGATGGCAAATATTGCTTTCATTGTAGAAGCAAACGAGAAAATGATATGAAGGGTGGGGCTATGAGCGGTACCGACAGGGAGAGGGCTTCGTCTCACATGCACCAACAGCGAGGGGTTCCGTCACACATCAAACCAACCAATAGGGAAGGAAGGTAAACGAGACTTCTTTGTGGACGATAATAGAACGGCTATGATACCCATTTGCAACGACCTATATAGCTCCAAAGTGAAGCAATGCTGATAAAAACTTTTACTCTAGTGACAAACGCTAAATAAGGATGAATTTCTCTTCTCTCCCGATCGCTGCCTAAGCTAGGTTCGTAGAGGAAAGTGGCATTGACTTTTATACTTACTAAAAGTCCTCCATTGATGTTCTGTTCAGAGAATTATGGCAGAAAACGTAGTTCTGGGAGTTTGAAGATTGCTCTCGACTCAAATTACCAGACAGACACCCACAGCTAGGATTTCTATTGTTTTAGGATCACTCAGACAAGAGCGACGAGAACGAACTGGGCAATCTTGCGGTCATAAGAACAATATAAGCCCTTTTTGCCTTAACAGATATTGTGCACGCCCACTGGCCACGTTTTTTAAACTAAAACAAACCCACTATTCTTTGGACTAAATCAAAAACTACTGCTGGAACAATTCAAAATAAATTCATTAAAAAATACTTTTACGACTTGTTTTGAAATAGAAAGAAACCTAACCTTTTACAAACTTCAACTACAAAAACAAACAAAAACCCGAGAGGAAAACAGCGCAAAAATGATTATATAATCAACGGTTACTCGTCACAATTCATCGCAATTGTTTTTTGAAAAGGAAAGCCTTCTCTTAATGAAATAAGTTCCTAAGTTTTTGTGAATGTTGTCAACGTTTCTTTTATTATAACGGAGTAGGAATTTAAGCGAAGTTTTCATTGATGATTTAAGAAAAGCCTGAAGATTCACAGGTGAAATTTGAGGACAACATCTTCTTTATTTATGTATCATTTCAAATAACTTCCCCCCTCTCAAGAAAATCGGAAACACTGACTCTTTTCATGACAAAAATGTCAGCAGTACCTGTGACAAAAGGAAGTTTTTAATTGTAGGCATCAATAAGTTTTTCCTCCATGTGACAGCTCTCGATTGAGGAACAGACAAGGGGAAGAGAAACAACATATAGGGGTTCTTTGCCATTTTCAAAACTGATTTATGTTAACGAGGAAAATCATTTAGATTCACGTTCGTTGAACCCACGGCCCTTTAGGATGTTGAGTTTTGCTTAATGGTTATCTAAGCACTGAAATACTTTGAGTAGACGATCTTGTACTTTGATGCATTTTACTGTTGCCGGTGACAGTGATCAATGTTATCGACATCCTGAGCGGAAGTCAACACCAGAGTCAAACGGGGGGTTGTTTGTTAGTCCAATGTGTTAGGTCTGGTTCATGGGAACTAAACTGCTACAGTGATGTTATTGGGTCGCCACATTCAGGATGCGATCGCTAGTTGCGGTTAGTCAGTTGGTAAAGTTATTTTTTCTACTCGATTCCTTAAGAACAAGTCGTTAGTGAGAGAAAGCTGGTAACTGTTAACATCTGTTGAGAGGGCTTTGATAGAGAAGTTAGCGAACCACCTCTCTAAGACAGTTTATGAAAATCGTCCAAGCTGTAAAATTTAACATTTCGCAGGATCTTAGTTAGGAAGGAACATAGTCAGTCGATGATGATCATGAAGCAATATATTTGTTTACTTTCATCACCATTCATTGTTATTCCTTCCTAAACTATCATTGTATTGATAGTTTTAGTTTTCTTTCATTTACGTCATTGGTGAGAAAGAGCCTTTCAAGAAACTTATTTTTCAAGCTTTTCTTTGCGTGTTTTAAAACAGTTCGAGGACTTTTCAGTTTCCAAGGAGGTACCGGATACGCTACTAAAACTCTACAAAAAATTCTCCAGTAATTCACAAA